ACTCGGTACAGTCGTTCGATTGCGCAAGAAGAAGCCAGTGTGTGTGCATCGTTGCATGAGCGAACACCTGTCAGGAGCAATAATCCCCTTCCTCGCACCATAAACCGTGCCGTGAACCGGAGTTGTTACGTACTTACTGCTTACACACTTGAGACCTCTACCCTGCGTGCTAGCGACTCGTGACATGGTGTCCAATCCGAGAATCGAAATCGGGTTCCCACACGACTCGTGACAGGGTGTACAATCCGTGAGCACGCGCTCGCGCCGCGCGTGTGAGTGCTGTTGTTACATGCTTGTATCCCTTTGCCGCTCTGCTGCTTCGCTGTGTCCCTTACAAAACCACGGCCGCTGTGGCCGATCCATGAAATTCCTGTTGTCGCAATCCACTTCCCTGCGTGTAAGCACGCGCGCGATGTGTTTCTCGGCGTGTGATCAAGCACTCGCTTGTAAGTGCACGCTGCTGTGTCCCAGTGTTCTTGTAGGCCATACCAACGATTATGGCGGGCTGGCATACATAATTGGCGCGTCACCTTGCCGGTGCCTCTACATTCGCTCATTTGCACGCATTGATTGCGCATCACCGGGGTGAAAGTTCCCGGGATAACCGCTTGTGATTCTAATTCGGCCCCAGCTGTTACGCTTTCTCCATGGGACGGCCATAGGTGGGAAGTACTCGAACACACACACTGCTCGCCTCACCCGTCTTTACCGTTGCCGCCTACTCGAAAAAGCCAACGATTGATGAAAAGAGCGAGAAGAGACTGAGCGTGATCGCATGGAAAGAAGGGGCAGCCAGCAGTTAGTTGTGTTGTGTGTCGCAGTCTCCCAGGCCAGGTGTTCCCGTTTGCTCTCGATGCCCGTACGCCGTCCGTCTGCTGTGGTTTGCGTGTACACCGGTTTACTCGTGCGTGCTTTCCTAGACTATACTAGTATGTACTACATCTATCGTTGCTCCGTCTGAAGACCCTGTGTTTTTTAACACGCGTGTTTTGTGTTTATTAACACGCGTTATACCACGACCAGGCCGTGTTTTTTTTAGTTCGCGTTGTGTTTTTTAACACGCGTTAACGACGATAAGTTCATGAAGTTGTACATTGTCCCACGTAGGATGACTCCGATACATGCGCCTTCCTTGTTCTTGCTGTGGAAACTCGATTTCGACTCTCGGATTGGAAGCCACTCTCCGTTTCTCTTTTTTTTTATTATTATTATTATTTATCATTTACATCATCATTTAGTAATATTTTTCCAACTGTGGTCACTGTGTTTTTTCCCTTCTTTTAGGGCATTTGTTACGATGTCTTTTTTTAGGCTTTTTTTAGGCTGTCTTTTTTTCGAAAAATGACAACTGGCCAAATGGCCCCGTGTAATAGGCTGTCGAATAAGGTTCGTTGTCATATTTTAGCAAGAAAAGACGTTTTAACACGGGGCTATTTGGCCAGTTGTCATTTTCGAAAAAAAGACAGCCTAAAAAAAGCCAAAAAAAAGACATCGTAACAAATGGACTTAGTAGTTTATTTACTTCTTTTTCTTTTCTTTTTCTCTCATATCCTTGATTATTATTATTAGTTTTTTTCTTCCTATATCCTTTCCTTTATCATTTCCTTGTAGTATTTTATTTTATTTTTTTCTCTTGTTCCTTCTCTATCCTTGATTATCATTAATAGTTTTTCTTGCTATGTCCATTCCTTTTTTCCTTCACCATTTATGTATTTGAATGACATTCATGTACTTCGAAGTTTTTTTTTTTTTCTTTTGTACTGTAATCGTTTACCTCTCCTTTCTCGGTGCTACTTTTGATCGGTCCCAAGTTGAAGGGGTGTCCGGTAGGTAACCGGTTGCTGTGCACGCATCCCGTGGCTGGTTACTGCCCTGACCTTCGTTACTCCCTCCGTTGTTTTTTTTTGTCCTTTGTCCGTCGTCGCTTCTCCCTCCAGTTGGCGAACGTTGCGAATGCTACCTGAGCAGATTGAGAGCATTAAGCTGCCACCTGCTGCGCTGCACGAATTTTCACTCACCGATACTTAGACTTTTTATTTTTTGCACATTTGTCAGCTGCGTTTGTAACATAATGTTACCGTTTTTTTTTTTATTTACATGCGGCACGTCTGAATGGTGTCGCCACACAGTTCTCGCTCATAGGCCAAAATTGCCAAGTAAGCCCTTTCGTTTTTGTCCTCACTCTCTCCCGTACCTGTTCTACCTTTTGCTTCCGGTTCTGCCTTTTTCGAGCCCTGTGGCCCTGAGCCGGTTGCGTTTTGTGCGCCGATCGCGATGTGTTAACCTTCCTTTCCGCTGTTCTCTGCGCCGCTCGGCGCTCTGCTGTCTTCCGTTTGCTCCTTGGATTGCCTCCCGTATTTGGCTCTGACCAGGTGGCGCCTTGTGCGTCGGTGGCTTTGTGTTGACTTACTTCCCCGCGGACCCGGTTGCACCTTTCGCTGCAAGCTGCGGTTGCAGTTTCTGCGCCTTTCGCGGCATGATGACTTTCCTTCTGTGCTCGTTGTCGCACTTCACGCGTTTCTGAAGTACGCTGGGTGCGTACGGCGCAGCTCGTGCGCCGCACACAGGGCATTGTTGTTCATCTTGTAACTCCTTTTAATGTTTGCTTCCCTTTTATCCCTCAGTTTTCTAGGCTGTTAGCTGTGCGCCTGTAGGTGCGCCCCGCCGCGCGTTGTTGTGTGGTTTTGCGATGCACTTGGTGAGTGCGTCCGTCCTTCTAGGCCCTATTTATCA